ACAAAATCAAGATACTATAAAATTCTGTATTAATATAATGAATGAATAATTTTTAGTTTGGTTACATACATGTGGAGAAACAAAGATTATTTCACACAAATTTTCTCACAGTCAGTAACCGAAAAAGGAAGAGGATGAAGCTTCAGGCTTATTTTTGCCTGTCCTATATCAACCAAAGTATAACCTTGAATATCAAGAATACCAAAGAAAGGAAATAAATTAATTAATAGGTAAATACACTATAAATTATAATTCTCAATTATTCTACATTTCAATCATTTTACATTATAATCTGTAATCATTTTAACACTTTGAAATTAGCTATTCTGCAAAATTTGTATTTTTACTTTTGATACCTTAAGTAAGCTACAGTTTGCTGATGAAACATGTACATTTAGTGAAGTAACATTTTGAACTCAGGATTTGTAATGTTTATTTTTGGACTATGGAAGTTCTGCTTTTACTCAAGTAAAGAATCTGAAGGCTTCTGTCAACGCTGAGTGTTGCTTGTTTAAAGTCAAACTATCACTGTTTTTTTTTTTTTGTTTGTTTGTTGTTTTTTTTTAAAGATATTTTTGGGGCATTTTTTAGCCTTTCATTGATAGGACAGACAAGCGTGAAGGGGGGAGAGAGAGAGGGAGTGACATGCAGCAAAGGGCCACAGGCTGGAGTCAAGCCCGGGCCGCTGCGGCAACAGCCTTGTACATGGGGCGCCTGCTCTACCACTAAGCCACCGACGCCCCAGCTGTCACTGTTTTGACCTTCCTTAAATTTACTTGCAGCAGATAATATGATTCAGCTATACATGTTTATAATTGCATAATACAAGAAGACAGCTTACTTAATCCAGTTCAAAATACATTTTTAAGTAAGTTGTTCATCTCATTTTGACAAAAAGCTCTCAGGTCATTCTGGTAAACTGCAGGTTCACTCACTCTCAGGTCATTCTGGTAAACTGCAGGTTCACTCACTCTGAGTAACAATGCTGATCACAGATGTTTAATATGTCTTCTGTGACTCCTTTGCACACATGCATTAAAGCAAAATGTACTTTAAATAATAAGTACTTTCATATCCACCTCTATAGTACTAAGCAGAGTTGGAAATTAACTTTTTTTGTCACCTGCCACTGTGGCTGGTGACAAAAATCTACCAGCCACTCAGGAGATTACTAGTGTGTTTTGGATGTAAAGTCTGAACATGCAAAGTAAGTGTTGGGCTGAGGTACTGGTACTCAATACCTTAAAGATAGCAATCTAAATAACCCTGTATTAAGCGGGATCGAAACTTCTCCAGTCAAACAATACCTGAAATTCAGTCCTTTTTGTATCTATACATTGTGTATGCACAAAACCAGGCCTGAAAGAGGCAAACGAGAAGTTGGGATCTATGAAAACCACATTGACGGCAGAATGTTCTCATCTGTAGGGAAACTCTCACTCGTGTATGAACATTTTGGAGACGGGGGAAATTAATGACACAGATGATTAGGTGGTGAATTGAAGCCACATGGTAAAAATTGAACGCAAGAGACATCATTATATGTATAATGATTCCTCTCACACGTTTAACTTGACTTCATAAAAGCAAGTTAACATGTTTTTTCCCCCCCACTACATGATCTTATCTTTTTCACTGTGTGTTACTACTCGCTTCCCCTTTCTGTAGAGGCTTGATAGAATTTTTTTTTTTTTTTTTTTGTCATCCACAGGCCGCCGCTGGTATCCTGTGCTATGTTGGAGCCTATGTCTTCATCACATATGATGACTACGATCATTTCTTTGAAGACGTGTACACGCTCATCCCAGCAGTGACCATTATTGCAGTCGGAGCCCTCCTTTTCATTATTGGGCTCATTGGATGCTGCGCCACTGTGAGGGAGAGCTACTGTGGTCTCACTACGGTCAGTAAACCAGTTCAAAAGTTTCCTCTTGTAGTGAGCTTTAAAACATGATGAAGGGGAAAGTGGGGTTTCAGGATGCATTACAGCAGTGCATAAACATATCAAATTTGACAAAAGCATTTGTCATATTTAATCAGATGCAACAGAAATGCAAATCTTAAGAAGCTATCAAAGATTTTAAATAACTGCATATAGTATTTTGTCTAACTAGAACACACCAAAGTGTCAAACAGTCCAATTTTTACTTAAATGCATGTTAGTTTTTCAAAGTGTCTGTATCTTGAAATTCAATCAATAGTTTGTCATCATCCTCCTGCTGGTTTTCATCACGGAAGTGGCGGTGGTGGTTCTCGGATATGTTTACAGAGCAAAGGTGAGAAAGTCAGATGCAAGCCAGTACATGTTTATTTTTGTCTTGGCCTTATTTGATGCGCACCTTAATCTGCTTGTGTTCAGTCATGCAGGTTTGTACAGTTCAAGATGTGTCATCACATATTTTTGTCTCACCCTTCTTAATCATCGGCAGGTTGAAAATGAAGTTAATATTTCTATCAAGAAAGTGTATGATGAGTACAACGGCACCAACAGCAATGCCCAGAGCCGTGCCATCGACTACATTCAGAAACAGGTGAGGACAGAAATTCTGTCTCCTCTTTAAATCATATATTGTTGTTGTTTGACCTTCATATTTCTGTTGGAATTGCTTTGACTGAGCAGGTAGTTGTCAGTAAACTCAAGTTTTTGTTTTGATTTTCACAGCTTCAGTGTTGTGGGATCCACAATTACTCAGACTGGCAGAACACACACTGGTACGAAGAAACCAAAAACAACAGCGTACCCATCAGCTGTTGCAAAAGTAACATTGGAAGCTGCACGGGGTCTCTTGCTCATCCTGAAGAGCTCTACCAAGAAGTAAAATAACCTTTAAATGTGTCAAGTTTTCACACCAAACACCTCTAATGTTTAAAGAGAAGTGACTTGTATGTTTGAACTTACTGTGTGTGTGTGTGTGTGTGTGTGTGTGTGTGTGTGTGTGTGTGTGCAGGGTTGTGAAGCTCTGGTTGTGAAGAAGTTGAAGGAGATCATGATGTACGTCATCTGGACTGCACTAACATTTGCTGCCATCCAGGTATGTAACTTTCACATCACCAGTTTTCTGTAGAATTTTTCTTCTCTTTTTTGCAGGACCTTTGCCGCAATTACTGTAATTCTATAGGATGAGCAACAAGCTCCCAGATGAAGTAGTGAAAGGATGAGTTTGTTTAAACTTACAACATGTACATCATTTTTCTACATGCCTGAGAAGATTGATATTACTGTCATGTCTGTGCGATAAATATGAAGCTACAGCCAGCAGCCAATTAGCTTAGCATAAAGCTTATCTTAGCACTGCACCTGGCTAAGGTCCAAATCATAGGTTCCGTGCCTGCATCTCTGCGAGGGTCTACTTTGGTCCACATGACATAACTGTCATTATCCACCTATGTTCGCAAGGGTTTTTTTGTGACCACAAGGACAGTACGTACAGCAAGAGCACTAGCTACGCAGTGTCTTGTACCACACTCCAGTCCAGTCCAAAGCACTGTAGTCAAGCCAGCTACACCCGCTGCACCGCAGCGAAATTACTTTTAAGTTTGATATTCAACAGATATTCACTCCAACCTCAGCGGCGTCTTCTTAGTGTCAGTTTCACCTGATGATGGCAGTAGGAGGACATTACGTTTACTCAAGCCCTCCTGTTTACTGCTGGGTGCTGACCCTGACCCTAAATTGCACCATGAATGGAACCATGTGCATGTCCCTGTGACCTTAGCTGTCCATGGACGTTCAATGCGGGGGGGTTTGTCTGAGCCATAAGAAATAGTCCAGCTGCTAGCACCCCATAAACAACAACTTGGTTTTTTTACACTGTACAAACATATCTATATGCAACCCTAACATATTTATCATCTATACTGGTAACCTGTTTTGGCTTTGTATATTTAGATTGCACCTTACTGTCATCTAGTTATTATAAATTTGCACCCATGCTGTTCAACTTTGTATTGCACATGCTGCACAATGTTCTTAGTGAATAAATTTTAATCTTCCTGTATCTTATCTTTTTAAACAACTAGATATAATGTGTTAATTAGCTGTTAGGTGGATTTTATTACCTGGTAACAGAGGCAGCTGTTTTCCTCATCTTGTTTTTGTGCTATGCTAAGCTAACGGTCTCCTGGCTACAGCTACATATTTACCATACAGACATGAGAGTAGTATTGATCTTCCCATCTAACTCACAGCAAGAAAGCTGGAATGCAAATAAGTCTGTTTCCCAGAATCTCACTGTTAGCATTATAATACTTAAGTCCAAAAAAATAGTGAGTTAAAGCTCTATAGTGAGGCCCAAACATTTATAAAGGGTTGTAAGTGGCTAACAACTATAAAAAGGTTTTAAAACCAAGAACACTGATAATGTGTGTGTCTCTGTTTTCCAGATGCTTGGGATGCTGTGTGCTTGCGTCGTGCTGTGCCGCAGAAGCAGAGATCCTGCCTATGAGCTCCTCATCACAGGGGGCACCGTGGCGTAAAGGAAAACTCATTCTCACCATAACACACTTTCAGAACTAATGTCGGTGAGAGCATGAAAATAATCTATTACCACACTAACCTTAAAACACCAACCACACTAAAGATATATATTTTACCTTTGTTTGTTGTTGTTTTTTTTTTCCCAAAAAAGCTGTAGACCAAATTCTTTAATGGTCAATGTAAATGAGATGTAGACAGCGTTCTATTGTCTCCGAGGATGAGGGTGTAAGACCTCATCCTATGTACGGAGTAAAATGTGGACAGGGTAATTTCCTCATATGTTAGTTTGCACTATGTGTATGGCTTTGAATATTTTGTATTTAAATCTGTCCTGAAAGACTGTATAATTTTACCTTTTACCTTCACTACTACTACTGCTATTCTGCTACTACTACTACTACTACTACTACTACTACTGCTACTACTACTACTGCTCAGTTTTGGTTAAAGCACCTCACCTTCACCAGCAGTATTCTGTGACACCACAGCCCAGGCCAACAGCAAGTCACTACGTGTAAACTGTTTAACTCTACTGCCCTCGGCTTACCTGGTCTTTCTTTTGAGAATCAAACCTTTTAATCCCCCTCAGTATGTGGAATTTTTCAAGTAGTACTGCTTACTTAAGTCCAGATAGACTTTGTCCCATAGCTGTTTTGTTTGTTTTTGTCTCAACAGTCTACTGATGGTAGTTTAGAATTTGATTTGCTCATATGTAGCAATAGCAAAACTCAAGAATGTAAATAAAATGTGGGGAAAGTTTGAGATTAAATGACTGCTCTTTGACTCTTTTAATTTCACTGACAGAAATGTCACATCTTAACAAAGAGATAATATTGTTCCACCAAATGTGATTTTTCTTTTTCTGCCCAGACAAAGCTCACATTCACTGCTGAACAAGTGAACTTGGTCCCAAAAAAAGAGAGGTCAAAGTTCGGTTGTTTCCCATGAGGGAGGGATGTGAGAGGTCCACACATTCAGCCAGATGCTTTGGTCTGTGTCTAATCTTTTATGCTTTGTAGCTTTTCGTCATCTCACTAGGTTCTAGGTTACCGTGCGCACAAAATGAAACTAACAAAATTAAAATATAACTGACGGAAATCAGTAGATGTAGTTGCATCTGAACATCCTGTGACCGAACAGCCAGTGTGGACCGTTTTTAGCCCACACGTTTAAAATGGTGATAAATAGACTCAGCTTTGGTTACTTGATCAACGCTGCAATGTGTCACTTGTTGCAGAGAAACCAGATATGTTTGAACCACAGAGCAGACTGCTCAGCCACATGACCCAAGAATAGTGCCCGGCTGCATTTGGATTGTTCTGCTTCTCTTGTAATACACATTAAGAAGAGCGAGAATAAAATGAAGCAGTAATGCCAAATTGTTTCCTAAATGGAAAAATTCAGCCACAAAATAACCATTTGTATATCAGATAGTCATGCTATGTTAGCTTGAATTTGTGAAGGACTCTTTTTTTTCCACATGCCTCCACAGAGAACAGCAAACATTGATTGATTAGGGTCAGCGTTCAACAGCAGAAAACTTTTATCAAATCAGCTTCTCACAAACTCCCAGGCAATTCATGCAGAATAAATCTCATTAATCCAGCCGTATGCTCAGCACTTTTGCTTCGCACAGTGTGATTTTGCTAAGTGAGACATGCTTCTGGATCAACATCCCACATTGCGTTCCTGGACCAACATTGCAATCAGCCAATCACAGTCCACTGACATCATCAGTGTGCTAAAATTCCTTTGTGCCTCTTCTGAGCTGTTTTCCATATTGAAGTTAGTGCAATTTAACAAAATCCTCAGTTACACTGAACCAGTAAACTAGCCAATAGGCTAGAATTTTAGGGAGTTAGCTTTCTAAGTATGTAGGTTATGCTAACCAGTTAGCTTGCCAATAGCCTCGATTATAGTAAACTAACAAAGATAGAAGGATAATATTATGTTCAGTTGGAAAGACCTGCTATTAACACATTTTTACAGCCTACTTTCTCAGCAAGCTAACTCGCTAACCCTGCAGCTCATAAGGATTTTGTTCAGTGTTACTGAGGATTTTGTTCAATTGTAATAATTTAAATTTGGAAAACTAGTTCAGACAAAGCACAAAATACTTTTTAAAGAAGCACAGGAGCAGCACACAGATAATGTCAGAAGGCTGTGACTGGTTGATCACAATGTTGATCCAGGAACATGTCCTACTTGGCAAAGTCACTTTGTGCCAGTACTTCCCAAACACATGCATTTTCCCAAAAAACGTTGGCAAAAAACTCCTGTACTAAGGGTTTTTTGGTCAAAATGCATGTGTTTGGGAAACACCGAGCATATGACTGGATAAAAGAGACTTGAACTGTACTGCACGGGTTGTGTGAGAGTTTGTAAACTCATATTTTGATGTAGTTTTGCTGTTGTTAAATGTGGCCCCCAATCAATAAATCAATATGTTCACTGTTGGTCCTGGAGGCATGCAAGAAAAACAATGTTTTCTCCACGCATTCAAGATAACACAGCACGACTAATTGATCTACAAATGATAATTTTGTGGAAAAGTAATCCTTTAAAAATGTCTGTCATGATAAATAAATACAAATAAATGCCCATTTACAAATAATTCTTATTAGCATTCAGAATAGAAACAATAACTACACATAGAAATTATATACAGGCCAACAATAGAAATCAAACACTGCACAGATACACAAGAATACAACAGTATATGAATAAACTTAGTGCAGCGATCTCGTGCAACAGATCTCTTAATCTCCCAGCTGTCAGTGGTATGAGGAGCACTCAACACACCAGCAACGAGGGCAAAGTCATATGAATATGTGCCATAGCAATAAATAAATCATCATTCAACACTGCCTTGAGCTACTGTACGTGACAACCCCTATCCGAAGGATAAAAAGACAAACCGGAACAGTCAGCTCTTCAGTCACATGATCTCTGTCGCAGTGTCTGTCATGATGCCACCATATCACAGGTGGAGAGTTTGACATTTTAAATCCTACTTATAGGGGCTTTAACGATACATGCAACACAAATATGAACATCAGATAAGGGAGTTTGAAATGACAATGCCATTACAAAATATTACATAAGGAATGTCAGGTAAGCTCATTCTTTGGCAAGGTAAGAGCCCGGGACCAATCCAGTGAGGCCGTTTCTGCTCACCGTCCACCAGCCGTCATCACCTTGTTCTATGACGACCACAACGTCCCCGACGGACACAGTGAGCTCATCGTCCCCCTGAACAAAGAAAGAAACATTCAGTCAACAGATAAACCTCAAAATAAATAAAGAGAACATGTAAAGTGTCTCATGTTGGAGCTGACCTGTGCCACGTAGTCGTATATGACCTGGTACCCCTCACTGCTCAGCTGGGAGTCCTGACAAGTATTAACGGAGGCATATACTCCGTCTGATGTCTCTGCTGAGGAGTTAGACAGGACATAATCAGCACTGGTTTACTTACTGTGTGAAGCTGCACGTAATTTGCAACTTTCTGCCCAAACCAGCGACTAAGCTGATAGTAAGATATCTCAGTAGATCATTGGCAAGCTGAACAAACGGTTTGATAGTGGTGGTGTAAAGCTTTTTTTATCTAATGTACCCTGACAGCCCCTCATCAACACCACCTGTCACATGTCAAATGTGTTTACTTGAACTGACTATAACTTGGATGTTATTTTAAACTGTTTCATATTTAAAAGTGAATACTGTTACGATACTTATTTTGGTACAAAACATGTGGTCCTGCAACTGTTTATGTGTAGGCTAAACCCATTTTTGCCTGCAACAGAAATCCTGAATTTCCCTTTGGTGGAAGTGTTCTTAAGGTTTGCCAAAATACAAATCAGAGGAAATTTTCAAACGTGGTCAGACTGTTGGCCGAAAAGTGAGTTTTTGTTACCATACTATATTTAGTCTGTGGGCACATGGGACTTCTGTGGTTTTTATATATATATTTCATTATATTTTAGGAAAAAAACAGTAGTCCCATGTGCCCAAAGACTAAATATAGTTTGATAAGAAAATGGCTGTATCTCAGAAACTTCAAGGAGCACAATAACGTATTTGGTATCTATGAAATCACAAGTTAAATATCTAATACATACGCACATATGCAGCGTAAAAAAGTCACATGCAAGTCATTTAGTAAACACAGAGTTTGCATTTTTCCCCATGAATCAAAAATCCTCATGTTGAGTATTTTATAAAAGTGTGTTTTGTTTTTTTCATTTTATCTATAAAGTTTAAAGTTATACTGCTAGATACTTGCTCAAAGTTTGATTGCAAGAGTTTTCAAGACTTACATATACATATATTTTGATCTATATTTCATTTATTTCTACAGGAAAGGAATTAAAAGTAACATGTGTTACAGTTAAAACTGGCCTAAAATCCTAGAAACGCCCCTGCATACACCTCACCTATACAGGACTGCTGCGACTGGATTTGCCTTGTTTATTCATTTTATTTGATAAATATTATAATTAATGACGGAGGCCCCTGGCCGTGTACAAAGGTGGCCCCCCGGCAGGCATGTTTAGTTTTCCTATTTTAGACCATTCAGAACAAATGTGGCATTTTAAATCATCATATTAAATAAAGTATTTGGGTACATATAGGTTTGGGAACCTCACATAAATTTATAATCCTGTTTCCTAGACTACAAGGACCCTTACCTGTGAATCTCTAGAATAATAACTAAGTAAGTAACTTATAGTTGCTCCACACTTTGTAGTTCAAGAATCAAGTGGCTTTCACATTCCTATCTGTCACCATTTTGGAAATCGCAGTGTCACTTGAATGACTTTACTCACCTACTATACCAGTAGGTTGTGTGGCTGGTTCATTGATGCTGAGTTTGGATCCACTGGAACAGTTTGACTGCAGAAGATTTGAAAACCTGCAAATTGGGGAAAGTACTGAGTGAGACTAGGTTAAGTGAGGATAAAGGACACTGTGTAATCATAATTGTCACCATCTGTCATTTGGTAACAGTGCTCGCCTTTGTGTAATCCTGACCTTTTCATCACTCCTACAAATCCAGCGCTGCCGTTTCTGTCATCCGTAGCATCCCTGTCGTAGTAACTTTCGTACTCGATTGGAGCTGTAAAAAAGCACCACTGAAATTCAGTTCACACAATCCATCACCTGTTTCAAAAGGTGTCAAACACTCAGCACAGCAGCTGAGCGATAATATTAAAATTTCCACCACGGAACATATTCAAATCGAAATCAGGAAAACCACAGGGCAGGCGCCTACCTGAGGGGGTCGAGCCGGTGCTTTTCATCTCCACAAAGCAGTTGTTGTCCGTGGTGATGTCACACTTTTCCAGTATTTTCCTCACATTCTCGTAACACTGAAAGAGCAGTTTGTCAAAAGGTGAGTTTAAAACATGCAGGAGGGTATACTGGAGGGCTTTGCTGAGGGTCTGCCCCATACAGATGTGTGAGAACAGCTGCACACACCTCATCATCATTCACACTCTGCATTGATAACTGGTTACAGTGCACCCACAAAGAATTCCTTAGTACGCTGAGGCGGTCTTCTTCCTGCAGCTGAAAAATCTGCAAAACAAGAAGACAGGAAAAACACTGAATAATCTTGGAAAGACTGTATGTGCACTTCTGAAATATATTGATGCAACTGGCAATTTCTTGCACAACAGAAGCATCCAGCATGGCCTTTAGTTTCTGTGGATTGTCAACTCAAACATTCATAGCTGTCATTAGAGTGATTTTTAATGCCTCATAGTTTTAAATGTATTATTATGTGTAATATTTTAACTGTTTCCTATGTGTATTATCTAGTGTTGCAAACTCCAGTTGACCTCTTTAATAGGGATGAATAAAGTAGTTGAATGGCTGCTTCAGTTTTGTTGATGTTATCACATGTAGGAAAACTTTGTTGCCCGGAAACTCATTAGTGACTCACTTTAAACTCTGCTTATAGGAAGTAAAGCACATCCTCATTGACCCAGGCCTCGGGTATTGCCACTCTTGGTCTAAGTCAGTACATTTTGAAATGCATCAAGCGGCAGTGTGCAATCCTCACTGGATAAATACAGTCAGAGGAGAAATACAGCTTATACTTTACCTCACATGTGCTGATGTGTGTCGACTCCCACTCTTGACGAATCCTGTCCAGCTGTTCAATGTTTGATTTGTACTGTTTCTCTGAAGACAAGTGGAATAATTTATTTTAATAAAAGAATAAATGCACTTAAATAAAGTTTGAGGGTTTATTTTTGTGCTGCCGTTAGCTCTATTTCTGGAATCCCTGCTAAAAGGGAAGGAAATGTAACCACCATCCTCAGAAAAAAAGAAAGTAAGAAAGTAAAAAAGTAAAAAACGTTCTGGTAAACCATAGCGGCTTCCTACATGTAACAACAAGGTGCAGCATTTCACTCGACTTATTTGTTCTTACCAGCCTCCACTGCAGCTTCTCTGCACTGTTTAGATTTGTTGTTCATCTGAGAAAGAAAATACAAAATTACACATTGCCTTTATAGCTGTAAAACTGTAATTTTCCCGTTAAAGGAAATCTAGTTTATTGTGTAAGTACGTTTCAACATAATCTTTGAATATAACATTCTGATTCTTTGTGTCAAAAAAATGCAAAGACTGTGATGCTCTTTTTGTTAATTCAGCAGTGGAGCTCCTAGACATTTTCCATAGGGGTGGCTGAATGGGGCCACTGAAAATCTTGGGGTGGCACACCAAAACAAAAGTCATAACTGAAGTTCTATAGTGCTGTTGTAGTGTATAGGTTTGCTGAAAACAATATCAATATTGAGAGTCAAGGATTTGCATATTGATGTACTTTGGTGTCTTATTTTACAGTTAATATTACTAATTATCTGATGTGCATAGACCAGTGCTTTTCAAACTTTTTGTGCCAAAGGTACACCTGTGGACAGGCCACATGTCACACATTTGCAATTCTCACATGCAAATGGTTACGGTTATAGACCAATATCTAATCTTCCCTTTATGTCAAAGATCCTTGAGAAAGTAGTCGCAGGCCAGCTGTGTGATTTTCTCTATGATAATAATTTATTTGAGGAATTTCAGTCAGGATTTAGAGTGCATCATAGCACTGAGACAGCACTAGTTAAAATTACAAATGACCTTCTGATTGCTTCAGACAAAGGACTTGTCTCTGTACTTGTTTTATTAGATCTTAGTGCGCCGTTTGACACAATTGACCATCAAATTCTACTGCAGAGACTGGATCACTTAATTGGCCTAAAAGGTTCTGCACTAAGCTGGTTTAAATCTTATTTATCTGATTGTTTTCAGTTTGTTGAAGTTCATAATGAATCATCCTTACGTACCAAAGTTTGTTTTGGAGTTCCGCAAGGTTCTGTGCTCGGACCAATCCTATTTACTCTATATATGCTTCCTTTAGGTAACATCATTAGAAATCACTCTAAATTTCCATTGTTATGCGGATGATACTCAGTTGTATTTATTGATGAAGCCAGAAGAAAGTAATCAATTAACTAAACTCCATAACTGCCTTAAAGACATAAAAACTTGGATGAGCACCAATTTCCTGATGTTAAATTCAGACAAAACTGAAGTTATTGTTCTTGGCCCCAAACAACTCAGAGACTCTTTATCTGATGATATAGTTTCTCTAGATGTCATTGCTCTGGCCTCTAGCACTACCGTAAGAAACCTCGGAGTAATATTTGATCAAGATTTGTCTTTTAATTCTCATTTAAAACAAACCTCACGGACTGCATTTTTTCATCTGCGTAATATTGCGAAAATTAGGCCTATCCTGACCCGAAAAGATGCAGAAAAATTGGTCCACGCTTTTGTTACCTCTAGGCTGGATTACTGTAACTCTCTATTATCAGGTAGCTCTAGTAAGTCCTTAAAAACTCTCCAGCTAATTCAGAATGCAGCAGCACGTGTACTAACAGGAACTAAGAAACAAGATCATATTTCTCCTGTTTTAGCTTCTCTGCACTGGCTCCCTGTAAAATCCAGAATTGAATTTAAAATCCTACTGTTAACTTATAAAGCTCTAAATGGTCAAGCTCCATCATATCTTAGTGAGCTCATAGTGCCATATTATCCCACCAGAACACTGCGCTCTGAGAGTGCAGGGTTACTCGTGGTCCCTAAAGTCTCCAAAAGTAGATCAGGAGCCAGAGCCTTCAGCTATCAGGCTCCTCTCCTGTGGAATCATCTTCCTGTTACGGTCCGGGAGGCAGACACCGTCTCCACATTTAAGACTAGACTTAAGACTTTCCTCTTTGATAAAGCTTATTAGTTAGGCTTATAAGCTTATAAGCTAGTTAGGGCTGGCTCAGGCTTGCACTGTACCAGCCCCTAGTTAGGCTGACTTAGGCCTAGTCTGCCGGAGGACCCCCCTATAATACACCGGGCACCTTCTCTCCTTCTCTCTCTCTCTCTCTCTCTCTCTCTCTCTCTCTCTCTCTCTCTCTCTCTCGTATTCTATTACTGCATCTTGCTAACTCGGCCATTCTGGATGTCACTAACTCGGCTTCTTCTCCGGAGCCTTTGTGCTCCACTGTCTCTCAGATTAACTCATATTGCAGCGGTGCCTGGACAGCGTGACGTGTGTGGTTGTGCTGCTGCCGTGGTCCTGCCAGATGCCTCCTGCTGCTGCTGCCATCATTAGTCATTAGTCATACTTCTACTGTTATTATACACATATGACTATTGTAACACATGTATACTGCCAGATATTAATACATACTTTCAACATATTGTACCACAGTAGCCAGAACTATAACTATAATATTATTACTTTCAATAATGTTGTTGTAAGCTACTGTTATTACCTGCATCTCTCTCTCTGTCTCTCTCTCTGTCTCTCTCTGTCTCATTGTGTCATACGGATTACTGTTAATTTATTATGCTGATCTGTTCTGTACGACATCTATTGCACGTCTGTCCATCCTGGAAGAGGGATCCCTCCTCAGTTGCTCTTCCTGAGGTTTCTACCGTTTTTTTTTCCCCGTTAAAGGGTTTTTTTTGGGGAGTTTTTCCTTATCCGCTGCGAGGGTCATAAGGACAGAGGGATGTCGTATGCTGTAAAGCCCTGTGAGGCAAATTGTGATTTGTGATATTGGGCTTTATAAATAAAATTGATTGATTGATTGATTGATTACGAATACGTTCCCCAGTGAAGGAATTTTAAATTAAATTCAATTACATAATATATTTTTATCTAGAGTTTGCCTCTTTATTAAGAAGTGGGTGCACAACATACTGATACAGTCAATTAAAAATTCATTGACAACTTTTAGTACAGGGCCAGTTGAATATTGCTATAATAATGTGTGGTTATCACAATGGCACACCTGCATTGGCATCACAGCAAACCAGTGTGCCGAGACACACAATTTGAGAACCACTGGCATAGACTAAGACCAATGAAGTCAACATTGTGAGTTCCACAGCAGTGTTGTATGTCTGTATATACAAATGGTATGCAATTTATTGATCTCTAGATAGGCTGGTTGTTCTTTTTCTTAAAAAGACAAATACAAAGCTTTATTTTGAAGGAGTACATAATCGTAAGGATTAAATCATTTACTGGGAACAAGCCAGCTCAGGTTGACTTTTCCCTACTGACTTACACTGACTTATCGTATTAACTCTCTCTAAATCAGTGGATACAGTTTTTTTAAGTGTCACATCAGCTGAGACAACACATTCTCACCCTGACCTCATCACATATTGACGTTAGGTCATAGACCGTCCACATCCAGATAGGATGTACAAGGTACCCTGGATGCGTTGGTTGTTGACGTTTTGGGACACTGTCAAGTTTGACCTTAGTTGGCCTTATAATCTTGTGGGACAAGAGCATTGCTTTCTCGAGTGAGGGTCGGTGTGAATCCTTTCATCCCCATTCAAGTTAGCGGAGTGCTTAACTTGGAGTAGCCGGCTTGGACACCGGAAGTTTCTTGTGCGCTTGCTGTACAGGCCAAACAGTGCAGAAGTAGTGCCAGTCATCCAGGTTATTTTATGCATGGCAGTTTGACTTTTTTTTTTTTTTTGCACCACTGAACAACTTAAATAAGAATGACAGGGTGCCGCCTCCAATCCTGTATCCAGTTCTCTTTATACATCCAAGGTACGAACGAGCAGGAATTTGTGACACCATAACTACTTTGAAAACTAATCATGATCAAATATGTGACTCACACAAGGTGTAAAGTGGAACCTTGAAACCGCCAGTACACACACTGTACACTGAGAGAAAACTTTTTCAGTGGAAAAAGGACATGTTGTGTCTAGTAGCCTGTGGATAATTCATTGATTGGACGTAACACATGTATCGTTTTAGAAAGTCATTACTGAGTTGAAATCACTGCACTGGATCTCTGCTGAAGCAAACCACAGCACAGATTTACCTTCTCGATCTGTTTGGGAGTGGCCGTAGGAGCGTTGCCCATCTTCTCTGCAGTTTGCTCTGCCTCATCTGCCTCCTTGCAGCGCTGCTCGTAGGATCTTTTAGACTGGGAGGGAAACAGAACAGAAACCATCTGAAACTTTAACACCCATGCTTTGTTCAACAGATCTTTGCTCTATGAACCCTTGACAGGAAAAGGGGGGGCAAGCTGTACTGAGAAAGAGGTATCTGCAGAAAAGACAAAGTACATCAAGTTAGACCTCACTTCCTTCTTCTGAGCAAAGAGAAGTATGAACTCAAGATCCTTAATGTGTTCATCAAGCCAAAGTGTTATGACTGGCATGTACTTATTATCTTGCGAAACCATCTTCCTCTTGTACGTCTCATCTATGTGTACAGCCAGGCTTATCTGTTAAGGTCTTTTCAGAATGCACTTCTTTAGTTACAAGCAGGATGTAGCTGCACTCCTGAAATGCACGCATGCTGTTTACCACTGCCACAAATATATAAATAGTAGTATGAATACACTCACTGAAACTTTGTTAACAAGGGCCTGCAGGCACATGAGGTGTAATCACACAGATCATCATGATAATATGAGTTGACCTTACGTCTATTGTTTTCTTGTAGAGGGAGACTTTTGTCTTCTGGACCTTCTCCATGATGACTTCAAACTGAGAAGTGAAGAACCATTGTCAGAACATAACATTGTCAACATCATCATAAAACCACACCCAGAGTGGCAGCTCTTTTTAGATTTCCTCTGTATGCAAACGAGAGAAAAAAGAAAAAAGCTTCTCACTGGTACCTTTTTTCTCTGTTCTTTCTGTCGCTCTCTAAACTGCTCCATTCTCTTCACCTCGTCCTTTAGAGCTGTAGACAGCTGAATGTGTGCGTTTCCTACATTTTCGATTTCTGAAAAATAAGACATACAAATAAAAACTCAGAACTGACTGAGAGATGTATGAAATACACAGGAAAAAAAAAGATACAGGAAATATATCCTGTGCTTACGTGTTCTCATTTCATCAAAAGATGACCTCAAAGTGCTGTGAAGATAAAATGATGAATACATTTTACATGCACTGTTGTCTGCCAGTTGTGCAGTGCAGAATAAATGCATTGCTTTGACTTATAAATATTAATAATGTGTATATCATTGCTCTGATGCACAAACACCCACCAGATCTCATATAAACCTCCGGCCTTGCGGGCAATTGTGACCAGTTCCTTGCCATATTTCTCTTCTGCTGATGCCCTATATGGACAAAACCACATCAGATCTGAGTCACTTCACACTGCGGTCACAAGTTTTCATCAAGACCAATTCATTGGAAATTTGTGTGCCCACCTCATTTTCAAGAGCTCCTCCATGTCTTTACATGTTCGTCGACCATCATGGAGTCTCTGACTGATGGTCTCATACCCGATATTACTGATGAAGTCCACTCCCTGGAACCATAATACGCATACTTTTAGTGATAAGAAGAAATGTTTACAGGGAATTGAGCCTTAATACAAACCACAAATAATGAAGAATAAAAGTCAATATTAGTTTCTTTACCCAGAAAGATGATTGATGATGATTTAAATCAGGGGTGTCAAACTCATTTCAGTTCATAGGCCACATAATAGTTTGATCTCAAGTGGTCCGCAGCAGTAAAACCAGTGCATAATAACCAATAAATAACAACACAGTCAAATTATACCCTTTAATTTCTTTTAAAAGTACTTTCTGAAAATATTCTGAATCCATTCACAAAGCAGATGATGAACAGCCTGAGGTGTGATAAAAAGAATGAGTGCATTGTCAAACCATATGTTTAAGTTTTTCCACATTCAATTAGTCTACTACTACCTGTCATTACATGTGCATTTTTCCACACACTTACACACATGTGTAGTCATGCTGACATCACCACACCACACTAAAGTGGAAGCTATTGAGGAAGCAGGTTAAATTAACCCCTGCCTTGCAAACCATTTACAATTCAAATTTGGCAGTGTTAGTGTTCAACTAATACTGTTATTAGATAAAAGATTACACAGATTCTGGGATTTCAATGTACTGCAACATGTTGCCTAGTCCTAATTAAACACCCAGTCCCTTTTACTAGCCTGGTGTTGCTACACATTTTGACAAATAAAGGCCTGGGGTCTCATTTATAAACATTACGTACGCACAAAAACGAGGCCTGAAAGTGGCGTACACCACTTCCCACGCAGAAGTTGTGGTTTATAAAAGCAGACTTGATGGGAGAAACTTTGCCCCTCGCTTACAAACATTTTGGAGACGAAAATTGGCGACATAGATGATGAGGTGGAAGCCTGATTGTTGAAATTATATAATATTTTTTGGTATTTGTCTGTACATACATTTCTAGTGTGGATCCTATGCACTGTTTTTTAAATGAGACCCCTGGTCTGGTTGCCAAGCAATTGTTTTTATAGATGCTCTTTGGGTGTATAAAACCAGACTGTTGGCTACCCACTGGAGCTAACATTAGTTCACTGTTTAGATTGTGCATATGAATATAAATGTTTTATTTTTGTCTATATGGAGATGCTACACATCGTTAGCTCGGTTGATATCATTTTACTGAAACCATGAGTACCACAGACAACCACAAGTTATTTAAATTCACCAGCATGATGGAAATACAAGTGGCAACTTCCGTTTTCTGAAGCTGTCATAACGTCAGAATATGTGTCTCTTCCTTGATCACCCAGGAAGTGTTTTTTTTTATGATAATCAAGTTATGATTATTGTTTTAACAGGATAAAGTGGTGTTGTGTTGGTGTGCCGTAAAACAAGTGTCATAACACATAACTGATATGTTATTCAAACCCTAATTTTTATACATGTAATATTCACACTGGTTCAAAAGACAATTGGATTGTATTCTCTGATCTTTGCTGAGCAAGAGTTTTGTATAAAAATGAATTAAAGGCCTGTCTCAAATATAAGCCTGTTGAGTTCAGCAGTTTAAGCAGATAATAGCCCAGGCTAGTAATTGAAGTTTTATGGTTTCTTTAATAAATATGACCGCTTTAAATGTTCATTATTTTTTTTCATGGAACTGTATTCTGGTCGGGGTGAAAAGCCTCTGAAACAGCCTTTTAAATGAAGCAGAGTATTCACTGTTTAACATGCTCCTAAACCTGTCATCTCTTAGCCTTCACAAGTGCATCACATTACAGTGCAAAGTCATCCAGTGGGCCATATGTCTGACACCCCTGATTTAAATGATAGATAACTGCAACTTTTACTTTGACGCCTTGTGAGATTTTCCACATAGAGGTATTGTGGTGGTATCTCATCAAGGCAAATGGAAATTGTTACATGCTGCTGCTGCTGCTGCTGCTGCTGGGGTCTGAATGGAAACCAACCAAGCGGGAGAAGTACCAAAAACCCCCGTTCGTGTTGAAGTATTCATTTCTTGCTGAAGTTTGAGAGATGTGGAAGTGCACAAATCTCTGATGCTTGACTGCATTGTGACTGAGTTACATTTTAATTGATAGTCCTGATAGCAAGGTGAGAATGAAGAGGAAAAGGGAAGCACATGACTTCACTGCGTAAACCAAAGCCACAATAGAGCTGATTTTTGTTTCTGATCGGTCAGTTCCTGATGCTTTACTTACAGTTACTGTAAAAGAATTGTACAGAGTTAGCAAATGGTTACATGAACATTTTGAGTTGTGGTCTGCTGCGTTGTTGTCTGAGAAGGCGGTGAGAGGTGAGAAGACAAAAGGCACATCCAGTGCAGTAAGGAAGATGAGATTAGCCTGATTGACAGGAAACCCTGAACAATCTTAAGAACACTGTGACCACCATAACACTATTTTTAAAATCTTCTACTGAGACAGAGCTGTTTAGTTTGTGTGACACACCTTGTTTTAGATAGATATTTTACACACACCCAGAGATTAAAAACAATTGTTTCACTTATCAACACTGCAAACATTTCAAAAGTTAATGTTTTAATCCAAGCGACAATTCAGCACCTGTTCGGTGAGTTTCAGTGTGAGTCAAAGGAAAGACAGCAAAGAATATTACTCTAAAGACAGGACAGAGTGGTTAGCTAACTGTAGTCAGAGATAGGCTACAGATATAACTAGTAAATGGTACAGTGATACTGTCCAGACAAAATGAAAAGCATAAATACAGTAGAAGTGGAATGATATCACCTCAAAACTCCACTAATCATACTGAATACAACACTGACTTCACAGCTCAGTAACAAACAGTCAACTTAAGCTCTGAAAATAAACATCCTCCAAAAGAAGACCTACTAACTCACCCAAAAGGCATCTTTGAATTCTAATTTCATCTTGGCAGCGGTTAAAAAATAGTCCCCGTTGGAGAATCCACTCAACTTCAAGTCACTTTATAACGCCTGGCAGTGAGGCAGGCTGTTGCTCGCTGCAACAAGTGAAACGGATCATGACACATTCAGGAAACCAGCTGCCAAACAGCAACACTCACTCACTTACTCATTTGATTTAAATGAGGAAGAGCTGCAACATGTCAACGGTTACCACAACTGGACTGAGACTCGTGTCGGTTCACTTTGGGCACATGTGAGAAGACAACTTATGATGACACAGTGACAGTTCAACAAAGCTGTTGAATAAATGTGATCAAAGCAAACTTAAATTTCTTGTGGTTACAAGCATGTTCCCAGTTCCCTGCTCTTCAGGATATGTGTGTGTGTTTGAGTGGACAAAATAACAGGAGTGGCTTGGGAGATTATGCAATCCAATTTAACAGCACTGCAACAGGTACTATTTTGTTCAGAATTTGCTTACACAACACTGTGATCAGTTCAGAGGTGTGTAAGTGAGTCAGTAATGTATCATGCTTGTGTTGCAATGTGTGTTTTCCTGCCATTTAGTCCATAATCAATATGACAAATGATGGTTGACGGACAAGATCAGCAATGATGTCAATACACTGCAAGAACTTAAGTGCAACACAGGAAATAAACAACATTACATAATCAATGACACATATAAGGAACTTCACAAAAATATAAAGTTATAATTCATCGTGTGATACGTGCAGCTGTCTGCCGTAGTCTGTCACTTCACTGTTCATGAATGTTTCTTGGTTTTTCAAAACTTCAGCCACTGAGATCTGCCCGTCTCTGTCGAAGTCCATTTCCTTGATGAGGTGAAGAGCCTGTTGATGACATGAGCAAAACAAGCAAACAGAAATCAGTAAATAATCTGCCCGAGCACCATGGGGAGAAATGATATATAATCCTACCAAGCAACAGCTAAAGGAGCATCTATTTACTGATTAAAGAAGCAGTGTGTAGGATTTAGGAGGATCTATTGGCAGGAATGGAATATAATGCTCATTATTATGTTTCATTAGGAGGGTAAAATGCAGTGTGACATGGACAGCGGTTTGGTGTGATGCCAGCATTGATGCAGGCACTGTCATGGTGAAGAGGAAGTTGAGGCAAAAGGCAACGTTCTCGAGTTACCCATCCGTTTATGTTCCAATCTTCACCTGTGGTCATGACAGTGACAGTGACCGAAAGAATGATATCGCGGATACAAGCAGCTGAAGTGAGTTTCCTCCTTTAGGTGGCTGGGCTCAGCTTTAGAGACAGAGCGAGGAGCACGGGCATCTGGAGGAACTCGTAGTAGAGCCGCTGCTCCTTCACGTCAAAGGGTCCAGTTGAGGGGGTTTGGGTATCTGATCAGGATGCCTCCTGGGTGCCTCCCGTTAGAGGTGTTCCAAGCACTTTCAACCGGTAGGAGGCCCTGGGGCAGACCCAGAACACACTGGAGGGATTATATATCTCATCTGGCCTGGGAACATGTCGGGATCACCCAAGGGAAGGAAAGCATTGCAGGGGTGAGGGATGTCTGGAGTACCTTGCTCAGCCTGCTGCTCCCCAAATGAAAATGGATGGATGTTTTCGTGAGCATTGTTGTGGTCTCATTAGCTTAGAATGAGCCCTTCATATCGACATAGGCAACAGATCTTGTTCCACAGAACCCAGCACGTTGCCATGTTTCTACGGTAGCCCAGAATGAACAAACCAAACACTGGCTCTAGAGAGGGCCTTTTGCATTGTTACATTACCTTAAGTCCACTGTAGGTTCTACTTCCCTCAACTTTGAACTTCATGCCGCTAAATCCGACACACTGGTCCTTTAATATTTATCTATTATGCCATCAAAATCTGAGCAACACATTGGACAGTTAAGTCTCACCTCTTCTCTTGCGGAGCCGTAGCTGTTAGGCGCAACCCAGCGGAGCTGCTCGTCTCGATTCAACTTGCCATCCTTATCTTGATCATAGAGGTCTTTGAACCGCACTGTTTCTTCAATCTCCCACTGTGAAGGGGAATCCACTGATGAGAGGAAAAAGTGTTAACACAGCTCAGGGGACGACAGCTGGTTATAGCAGAGGAAACTCCCAACAAACAGATCATCATCTATACCTTAAAATAATTTGTGGATAGTCTTTGCAATGCTGCTGGTTAGGAGTCTTACACTGTTTGAATGGAAAGACAGACTTCATTTAACTTTCAGTTTATAGATTGGAGATCTTATGCATCATCTGACCACAGAAAAAATTAGCTATGCCAGAAGAGGCTGTGCAGTCACCTTCTACACTATTTGGCAATCAGTTCTGGGTCATGGAGAAAAGATGGGTGCCTCAGAACTTTCATATGTATAGATATAAAATTGCATCTTGTGTAATCTGGAAAAAAAATGCTTTGAATACTTTGACTTTGTGGTCTTACCATCACCACGGACATCTCCAATAAATTCTTTCAGGCTGATGAATCCATCCTTATCAGTGTCATATTCACTCAGCACATCTTCAATGGCAAAATCCTGTTTGGAAAAAAGGATAAATAATTTAAGTCTAACATGAAATATGAAAATCACTCTTATAATGTGTGTGATAATACATTATCATGTCAGGTTTTGCAGGAGCTATATTCATCTTACAGCCATGTGATCCACTTCAGACGGGTGGGTGAAGGCAAGAAACTCCATCACATTAAGACCAGGAGTGCCGTTCACATCAGCAAAGTCAAAGCGCCTCTTCTCCTTCAGGTGGAGCTGATGGGAATGTGAGCCTGTGTTAAGGTATTACACATAACCAGGCTGTGGTTTAATGTGACAGGACAAATAAAGTATACTTACAAGTCTGAGAGATTCTTGCTCTGGATCATCCAGAACAGCGCTGTCATCCAAACTAATGAGCTGGTCATGAGCGACTATGTTGTATTCTTCCCACGTTACAACACCATCTTTGTTAGTGTCAAACTCAGGGAACCGCTCCTTTGCATCATCCAGGGCGTATTTCCTGTAGACCTGCTGAATCCACAGTGTGATCTCCTCTGGTGATAAAAACACAGCAGGCTGAGTATGACCTTGCAACACCTCTGTTTATCTTTGCCTTCTTCAAATGTAGAGAGACATACATCTACCTGAACTTAGCAGATTGTCACCATTCGTATCAATTCGCTTCACAATTTCCATCATCTTTTCCCTCTGTTCCTCTGGGCTGAGTTTCTTTAGCTCCTCAGTGTCCTAGATGGGCGTAAAATAAGCAGAGCAAAGAGTGAGCAGGTGATGAATGAAGAGGAGAAACTGGGCTGAAGAGTGTAAGAAAACATTAAGAAACCTCATCTCCCAGCAGGATGTTCATGTCATGTTCAGGGTTGTGCTGCTGGCCGGTGTAATGATCTTCATGGAGGTGTTTGTGAGAGCTGTGTGCAAATCCAAACTGAAGTACCAGCAACACCAACAACACAGAGGATGCCATCTGTTGAGTAACACAATTATTAAACTGTAAATGAAATGCTAACACTGACTACAAAACTCTTGAGAACTCAGATGCCACAATGCAACGGCGCCATCTTGTGGTCAGCTAGCGGAAGTTCGTACAAGCTAAACTTTCTGAGTCCTACATGATGATGAAAGCCGCTAAACCTACCAAGAACAACAACAATAAGCTGACGAGAAGGGGCGACAATAACACAAAAAGCCTGTTAAAACTACTAGATTCTATCTACTGTAGTTTTAATTCATTCCGGTTCCTGTTTGTGTTTGAGAAACACAGATGTAACGTTACATGCAGGCAGAATACAGGACATTAGCAGCGTTAGCCGAAATAACTAGACACCGTTATAGCAGACAGTCCACACAAGCCAGTGACAAAGTAGCTGCGAATAAGCTGATAAATTACAGAAATGAAAATGTTATTACCGTGGAAAGTCCTTCGTTCAAGTGTTGACAAAGTGTTAACGTTACTCAGTCTACTCTAGAGGATACGTGCACTTCCGGCTACATATTTCAAAATAAACGTTTTCTTCTTTTGGTGTATGTGTTACTTTCTTGTGAAATACCATAAAATTTCAATACATAGGTTATTATTTGCTTACATCACTGAAATCAACGTGCCTTTATTTGGGACAGGTGTCAATATGGGACAGGCCTTTAATTCCTTTCACACAAAACTATTACTCAGCAAAGATTAGAATCAAATTGTTTATTTAAACCAGTATGAATATTACTTACATAAAAAATAGGCTTCAGATTATATATCAATTATGAATCATTCATTTTATCTAGCTCCGACAGAAAGAGCATCACAGAGAGTTATGGCACTCAATGATTACAGCACATAGCGACACAACACCAGTTTATCCTGTTAAAACAATACTCACTACTTGGAACAATTTTTATGAAAAACCCTTTTGATTCATTTGATCGGAGGACCCTTAGGCACAAAACAATATGAATAACTTACAGGGTAATCAAGAAATGGACACATAGTTTGAGGTAGCAAATAACCTGGTTTTATACATCCAAAGAACTTCTATTAAAAAAAATGAACAGCTTGGTGACCAGACCAGGCCTCTAATTGAGACAGGCGTTTATTTGCCAAAATGTGTAGCCACACCAGGTTAGTAAAAGGGACTGGGTGTGTAATTTGGACTAGGCTTTTAACTTAAGTTTTAGGGTAATACACTGTGCTGGGAAAGCTGCTTTAAAAACATAGCTTTAAAAGACAGAAATTACTTTACACTGAATATAAATGCACTACAGCAAAGCTACCCTGGCAATAAATCTAGATTGGTTAAGCTACTTAGAAAAAGTAGATCAAACTACTTCATAAAAGCAGGGGGAAAAAAATCAAAGTGACTACATGTGATACAGCAATAGAATAACGTATAATACAGACAAGTCACATGCCAGCAGAAATGCCACTCAGCTGAGTTTATTGCAAAAAGAGCTCACTTGTTCACAGGTCATAAACCATGAAATGAATAAAAATATCCTGCTATTCATGGAAAAGTATAGGAATGTCTCCTCTGGCTTTGTATTCAATGTCTTTTAGTCAATGTATACAGTGGATCTTCCATGAAAGAAAACAGTGGTGTGCAACTCTGCAACTTTTATGTATGAAAATCACAGGATATATGTTTTCCAATGCAAATCTATAGGAGCAACTGAGAAAATAATTCTGTTGGTAGATGAATGTGCTTGTGTCTCGAGCTCACTAATCTGTCTGTATTCCACCTCCCAAAAGTAATATTTGTACTTTAGTCAAAGCTGGAGATAACTGTAACATTCACTTCATTCATTTAGAGGCAGGTCTGATTTAACAGGGTTTTAAACCTGCTTTTTATGGTGGTCATAGTTCAGGCACACACTTAGATCTTCTGGTAGGGCCCAGTTTGTTGCATATAACTAACAGGAGCTGTGCAAATCCATGTTACTGCTCTTTGAGCAATAACAGGAAGTCTTTTGTCCCCCAGGCCACAAGGCTATTCAACTCCTCCCAGTGACAGTAGGTTCAGACAGCTCACCTGTATTCTGACTTTACGCTGCTCAACTGTAGGTCAGTTACTGGTTATGTTCATCTTGCACAATTTGCATTATCTATTTACATCTATTTGCATTTGTATTTTTTCAGATATTCACCCTCTGTTTGCATTTAAACTGGGAAGGGGGTGTTCAGAGTGGGGAAACGTCACCTGTAAATTTACACCATTTCCTCTGAATGGAAAAATTAAAAAAACAAAAAAAAAGGAGAAAGGGTTGCTCCCCAGTGCTTTTATTTTGAAGGCAGGTTCACTTCTCTTCTGGCTTCCTGCTGTGTGTAGATGACTTGACGTTACTGAGAGATCAACCAAACGTCCCGCCCGATCCTTATGGTTGCCATGGTAGACAATTTGAAGCCCCGCCCCTTGACCTAAACTCTGCTGTACGTGATTGGCTGGCGAGTTTGTTGTGTCAAAGTTACGGCGATTCAATTGGATAATCGCATCGCCGGTCAAAATATAAACTCAACAGACTTCCTGCTTTTGTTAGGTTGTCCTCACTGTCATGTATTTATCTGACATGTTTTTTCATCAACTCTGACAACAAGAAAACCGCCTCCGTAGATTTTGATTTCCCACCGGCCGACGACTGAATTTACCGCGGGTCGATGTCCAAAGACAATCGCCACGATGGGCGACGGCGTGGCGCTGGGCAGCACCGTCTCGGGCCGAGAGTTAGCCAAGGTGGGGACGGGAGGGAGAGGTCTGGTAGCAACAGCTCAGGCTCCTCTCATGGAGGAGGCAAAAGCAAGAATGCATCCATAAGCGCTTTGAAGGTATGTAATACTATTTTAGCTCGTTGCTAACAGTTGAATTACGGCAGTTAATGTAGTTAAAAGCATAAGAGTTCCCATGTAGTCCTAGCTAGCTTGAGCTAAGTGACTGGATAACTGAGAAATGGGTTGACATAGCTGACATTCCTAGCAAGACAGCAGCATTTTTGGGGTGACCTTACCTGCCTTAGGTGGGATGTTGTCAGCCCTGGTGGTCCTGAGATGTTTCCCTTCCTACCAGCACCCACCCTTGCATTATTACTAACTAAAAAGACATGGTTTTCTGAGAAGATGCTTGTACATGAAGGGATTTTTGTGTAGTCATATCATCATCCCAGCAAGAATGTGACACCACGAGGAGTGTTGAGTAGGGCAACACAAGTGTAACTGTGTCAGATAGTGAGGTAACCCGCTTTCCCCAACTTTCTTCTTGCAGACTTTCTAAGTTTGCACCATTTATAGGCAATCAAACCATGTGGGCTTGAGTGTTTTGTCCCCCAGCACCCTATGAATCATCGGATGCCGAGTCCAATCAGATCCTGAGCATCACCCAGTGTGGCTTATGCACGGGCCAGGCTTGCGTGAAGCACACACTGTCTCTGAGCCTGCAGCTATACTCTCATCACTGAGCAGCAGGCCTGCTGTGTGCACATGACTGCGCAGTGTTGTGGCAGAAGGAGAGTGAGAGATGAGAAACAGAGGGAGAGTGGGGGCTCTGATGCAGAGCAGGGAGAGCAGAGGAGAGGAGCTGTAAATATAGGAAGCTGCATGCAGTGGAGAGCCAGAGCCAGAGCAGAAGAGAGTGGCAGGCAGATAGAAAGCAGCAGGCAAAAGAGTCGGGGCCTAAGAAGTGGCTGCTAACTCAGCAGAGCACTGAGGGCTCAGGCTAGATTACAGACATAGTCAAAGTGAAAGGCAGGACTGGCGGACTGCTGAGCACTTGTCTCTCTCAATCGCCACTGGGAGAGGAGTTGACACAGCTGGGCAAGTTGCTATAGCAGTGTGGACTACACAGTAGGAGTCTATTTTGGTCCTGCCGTCAGATGACGATGTCACCTTGCACAAGTGGCAGTGCTGGTGAGGGGGAACAGGTTGCCTGAAGTGGGCTGCAAAAGTATGTCAGGGGTGGATAAGGACGAGGAGCCTGCTTACAGACTGTACTTCTATTCTGTATGTATCCTCTAATCTTTTAATTTTCTTTGTGTCTCTCCTAATGAGCTAGATCTCCCCCACTGTCTTGCTGCTTGCATTTGTTTGTAGACCTTGCCAAAAGGGAAACCTTACACTTGCCCCTTACTCAGCACAGTCTAGAAAACAAGCGTTCTCTCTCTGCTGCATGGGAAAGGATTGCCTGGCCAGAAGTATAACAGTTATGCTCCACAATGTATCTTATTTTTCTACAGTGCAGCCCAGGAGACAGCTTGTTTACAGCTGGTTAAGTGGATCAAGAGAATGTTGCTGTAAGCCTTTTTTTGCCTCGGGCTGCTGCACATAGTTAGCCATCAGTTGTAAGTAGGTAAGGTATTCTCACTACATTCGTCTGTCATCAAATGGCTGCCAAGCCCAGTAAACGCAGAGTAAATATTTACAGTTTGTAGACGGGAGATGGTGCATTGATGCTGACCTACATCACTAGGTCTTGCTCATTTTAGCAGGGCCCTGTGTTGTTTGATGTTCTTTTATCTCTTTGTAGTCCTATTCATACTTGGCCGAATAAAGCCCAGGCCACTCGACATGTAAAGAATTTTGCTCACCAAAAGTAGGTCAGCTGGGTATCTCCCTTAGGGACATTAAATAGTATCAGACCAATGCACACATGCTGTTTCTGCATTTGTAACACCTAATGAGCCATGTTCACAGTCTGCTAGCATTGAAGGATAGTCAGCAAAGATTGTTACATGTGAGGTTACATAAACAAAGGCCTAATTATCATTTGTTTTGTCAAAGCTGTATCCCTCTCTTCTTTTCAACTGCAAGTGTGTTGCGAGGGGAATAATTTAGCTGTAGCTTTCTTGTTGGAATAATAGTGTTGTTAGTGAGAGACAGCCAAGAAAAGAGAGAACGTTTGGTTCCATGACTCATTTGCTATTAAGAGGAGGACTGGCTCATGATTTTTTTTTCTTTGTTGGTTTCAGGTAACAATGTGTTCTAAATCTGAAACCACTTCTTGTAGTTGTCTGACCAAAATAGCCAAGTTTACTCTGTCAACATTCGATTAAATCATTTATGAACAATACAGAACAGGCTATTCTAGCGGGGGAACACAGTGAGTGGAAGATCCAGGATGATAAGCCTCTAGGTATTAGCTTCTGTGTTGTTTTGTAACCAGATTGCCAGAAGTCAGAATATTAAGCGATGTAAGATTACAAAGGCAAATTATATCAAGTAGACTCTCGGGTACATTGTGTCATTTTGTCTCTGTCACTGCACTTCAGAATTGAGTTGTCGATGTTATCGCTTGTGGGATGTTGAGCAGATTTGGCCTATGCATTAATGCATGAGCCGTTTGACCAAACTGTTATGAGACAGGATGTTTCTCTGTGAGGTGGGGATGCAGAGAGATGTTAGTGCCATGTTTCATCATCACATGGCATCTTTATGTTCCATAGGAGGATTATGAATATGATGAATGACTTCTCGCAGCTTTTATTTTGGTTCGCAGTGTCTGCTTC